GGGGGATACCCAGAAGGTCACCAAGGAGCCCTCCAGGGTCTACACGAGAGTCCTAGGCCAGTGAGACCAGTTGTCCGGGCAAAGGCGGCGTGGGACCGGATCATCGTGCAGAGACGGGCACACCAGTGCTTCTTTGCAGTCTTCTCTTAGCTTCTCTCCTCTTTGTATCTCTTTACTACAGAGAAACCCAAGCCTTCACAAGAGAACAGACAAGAGCAAACATGTGCCCTTGCTCTGGGCAATGATGACATTTGCTCTGTGCTTGGAAGAATGACATTTGTTTACCAGAAAGAAACTTAACTGTATGCCCCTGCAGTTTTAACAAAGGTTAGCTTAACCCAGAGACTCCCCAAGCTTGCTTGTTTATGCCCACCATAGCAGGGTTGGGCACTCTCATGCTGCTCTCCACTCCTCCTACTTCAGACACTGCCGTGCTTTCCCTGCCACTGACTGTCACTAGCAAGCAGGATTGGTGGTAGTCAGCACCAAAAAATGCAGCAGCAGCTGCCAAAGTAGGGGGTGTGCAGGTAGAACTGGGAGCCATGATTTGTACGGGCCCAAGGAACTTTTCATGCCTGTCCCACTACCAAAGTTGAGACATACTATACTTTGGGAATTGCTGACATAATCCATAAAGGCCCAGTCCTGCATCTGGCTTCTATGGAGGTGCCCACTTCTACAGCCTGTCAGTTGCAAGGTTGAGGTGACATTTTTATAAAGATCTTTTCCCAAATACAGTTTTTAACCACAGCTCCTTTAAAAAAAAAAAGGAAGATGAAATACAAATTATTCTCTCACTTGATTATTCTTTATACATTATAAAAAATGCTGTTAGCCTATTAAAGGCATTGCATCACATCTTTAGGGTGAACAACAGCATCAACGTGTATTTAAAAAAAATCCCCTATTATCCTAATAATGCATTTCACCCTGAGGCTGTGCTTAGTTGACTTTCAACATTATTTACAAATCTACTGGCACTAGGGCTCCTGAAAATGAATGCCTTGTTTTAAGACAAGCAATATCACAGATTTTTTTCCTAACAAGATCTGTATCTTTTAAAGGAAGAAAACCCTCTTGGCTTTATTATGCCCTCTGGAAAGATTTGAGGAACATTTTTCGTAATAGGTCTCTTTCCTATAGTTCATTGCTATTTTCACATAACAGAGTATAATTTGAGCTCCTCCAGTTTTGTTTTTTATGTCCTCAGTCACTTATTTTCTTTTGTTGCTATAACATTTCAAAACCTTAGTTAAAGCTTTACAGTCAAAAGAACTCTCTCTCAAAGTATTCAGAAGAAAACTGGTAATGGGTCCCATTGAATAATTCCAAGCTTCTCATCCTCTCTGTCTCAATAGGCATGAAAGTGTTTAAAATTTGAGGTGCTTTTTGCTGGGGCAGGTATTGGAATGTGCAATCATGCTGGTGGAAAGAAGGGTAATGCAGATACTTATTCATGGAGGAAATTACAAGAGCAAGTCATAAAAAAGAGATCTGCAAAATAAAATTATAATAATAATAAAAAAACTAACAAGATTTTAGTGGAGACAAATCATTCTTCTCCTCTTACAAGATCCCCAGGGGATGCACAGTAACTGCTTCGTAATAGCATATTAATTAAACAAAAAAAAAGACCCATCTTTGGTCTTAATGGTGCTTGTGGGAAAATGGAATAATAAAATATATCTTGCTACAGCCAGACTCCTTTATTTTGCCTTATTTTTCTGAATATTACCTTTCACAGGTTCAACAGTAAACATTGGCTTGTGGGAAGGTAAGGCTTTTGAAGTTAACATAGATAGTTTAGGTGCAGCTTATAACTGACATGTTTTGGATATGGAAGTCTGAGCTGATGGTGGAAGGGGGGGTTAACTCCAAACACAGGAACCAGACATAGTCATAGTTCTGGCATTTTAGGAAAATTGCACTCTGGAGAGCTGGACAACACAAAACCAATACACCAGTAGACTGGCTTTTTGCTTAGGAGCAGATTTCATTCTCTGAATGCAAAGACTGCTCTAGACCAGTGCTGGAAGCAGTACTAGCCATTCCAAAAGGTAAGAAGGGACAGCACCACAGTTGCATCTTCCCTTCCACACAGGGAGTGTTTGCAGGCACCTATTTCAAAGTTCCTGCTCTGGAGCATGTTTTCAAATATCCCTAAAAGAGTTCTGAAAGGATTGTGCTCCAGAAGCTCTTGCCCTTGACAGCTGCAGCAACAGTTCCACCACACCTAGGAAAAGGACAACTGCTATACCCAAATTATGACAACGGGTTCACTTTGTTGGATGGGGCCCTGGAGTAAAGATGGAGCATGCCCGTCTCTTTTCAAGAGAACCACTTTTCAGGGAAGCTAAAGATCAGTTTAACTAACATTCAGATCAGGCAATGGAAATGCAAAGACATACTCATGCCTGGGAGAATGGGTGTAGACCAGACCCCAGGAATTCTGAGCTCTTATTAGTTGTTCAGTTTCCCCAATAACTCAAGTAATTAATTCCCAAAATTTGCCAGGTTTACAACAGTTTATATCCCTTAATAAGGATGCCCGAGGTGTTGGGGGGCGCTTGCTTGGAATGGCTGCCACCTTTTCTGGTCTCTGACTTTTCCTGGTTGTCTGTAGTCCTGACTCAAGGAGCTACAATCCAGTTCTGCTCCTGAAAGAGGGAATTCATCTCCTATTGAGGGGACTTGGTATAGCCAAGACTTCCAAGCAGCACAGCAGTCTTGTCATATCCGTCAAGGTTCATTCTGAGGTCGCTCAGAAACAGGCTTTTGTGGCCTTCTGCTTTAGCCACACTTCTGCAGCTTAACCCAGAATTTCTAATATTTAGCTACACATTTACAGCAACAACATACAATTATAATCTTTATATGACAGAGGATAGATACAAAGTGGAGGCACTTATGCCAAGGCCTCTAATGTGTGCCTTACACTTAGGCTAGAAGAATATTTTGTTGGCAAATAGTTTATTCACTGAAATTTGCTCACTTGAGTATTATTCAACACAAACTATTAATAACAGTCAGGTTGAATTCAGTGAATAGTTTCAGCTAAATGAAAAATGAGAACAACATTTTAGAAATGTCAAAGTAAATGTGCCTTGGGCTAGGGAAAGTAATGCTCACAAGACTCTGGCCTGTGAAGTGCAACACTTGGGTTCCAGTCCTTCGCTGAAATTTGTGGCTGAGTCAAAAAGGTTTAAAGCTGCTCTGGGTTAGTAATGACCAAAATGTTATCTCTTGACATCCCAAATTAAGTTGTTATAGATATACACACCACCTATTGATACTCACATTATTATCCACATTATGGGCTAATAAAGTACTAATAATGCTAGATGTGACAGCTCCAATCTCCCTCCATAAGTGTCAGAAAACCAACACCATATCATGAGAAGGAGATACCATGAAAAATACTTCTGTTCTAATATTAAAAAAAAAAATCCAACTTTCCTTAATGGGAACAGCTGCAGGTTTTAAATAAGTGTGGAGAATGAGAAACTGGGCATGTCTACACAAGACACTTTACTGAGCAGTGGAGCAAATGACTGTATAGTAAGTGCCACTGTCTACATGTGCAGACCGTTACTAAGCAGTCATTTGCTGTACTTGGCAGTTAACTTCCTACCTGCAAATGCAAGTAGCAAATTAACTGCTGAGTAATTACTATGCAGTAAGGCAAGTGTACACAGTGACAGGGAGCCAGTCAACTGAGCAGCAGTCAGTGAGAGATTGCTCCCTGCCCCCAGGAGCTGCCTGCTGTCAAGCTGGGCTCTGCCACTGGAGCTCAGGAGGGAAACAATGTTCCGTTTCAGGCAGTCTCCAGCCTGCACATGAAGACTTCCCTGCAGAGCCCAGGGCTGGCTGGGAACTATTTTGTTCTGGTGCAGGTCCCAGTCCTGCAGCTTTTCCCCACCTTGCGCCCTGACTGAGCAGTCGAGGCAGGGAACTTGGAAAGAGCTGCAAAGGAGGGACAGGTCCCAGCCTCCTGCCCCAATCTGCTGGTGGGCCAGGTAGCAGCAAGCCCCGGCTGGGCAGGGAATCCCTTGGAGGGGGACCTGCCCCTCCACTGCAATTTTTTCCAAACCCCTTGCCCCTGACCAGGGAGCCAGGGCTGAGAGCTCCCTGCTGCCGTGGCAGGGGTACATTTTACCCACCTGGGCTCTGCCACTGGAGCCTGCCCCAGCAGCAGGCAGCTCCCAGGGGCAGGGAGCAGTCTCCCAGCTCCTACCAGAAGACAGCTGCCTTCTGGCCCCGTGCTCCCTGCCAGCACCTGGGCTAGCACCCAGGGGGAGTCTAGACCTCCCTCTGGCTGCTGCAGTGGGGGCAGAGCAGGGCACTGACTCCTAAACATGATTTTTACTCAAGGCTGATAAGGCAGAACTCTGTAGGTAAGTTTTTATTGCCACTGCTTAACTTCCATCCATGCTGAAGTAAAGCTATTAAAGAATGGCATTTTTATACCTTTACTCAGGGAAAACCTAAAGCAAGACAAAAAAATGACTTTCTCCATTACAAGAAATTTCAGAGGTAGCTTTATGGTAGGTCCAGGTTTGTTATTTTCTCCATGCTGTAATAACCTTTGTGTTCAATTTGTAGCCCACACATTTTTAATACTACATCTTCATTTTGTTGTTTATTATTAGATGGCTGCAAGGAAAATAAAAGCTTAACACTTCCCCTACAGTGTTTTCCAGAAATTCCTTTCTGTTTAGTTTTTGGTCAACTTATGCAAAGAAAACCTTCTGTGTCCAGAATATGATCGATTAGTCATCACAGAATTTTATCATAAATTAAAATAAAGTTCTCTGTAGTCTTTTGAGAGTCTTGTACCCTTCCCAGAAGTATGAGCCAACTTACCATTGGCTACTGCCCAAAGACGCTCTGTCCAGAATATGATCGATTAGTCATCACAGAATTTTATCATAAATTAAAATAAAGTTCTCTGTAGTCTTTTGAGAGTCTTGTACCCTTCCCAGAAGTATGAGCCAACTTACCATTGGCTACTGCCCAAAGAAGCTCTTCTTGGAATTGCAACATCTGGTACGTAAAACCCATTCCTTCCTCCCCAATTAGGTATTTGCAGGGAACTCTGACATCTTCAAAAAATATCTGAGCTGTATCTGATGATTTCATGCCCAGCTTGTCTATCTTTTTAGCAATGTGAACGCCTAGAAACAAAGGTGTATTAGAAAAGCTATAGGAAATAAAAGTCTACAGTACAAATCTTGTATTTAAAAAGAATAACAAAGAAAGTTCTATACTCAAATCTATAAATTAGAAAGTTTCTATGCTTAGGCTAAACTAAAATTGTAGGTTAATAAAACAGAACTATGCCTTATTTTTTGTGATCAATGCAACAGAACATCTCTATGCTGTTTTTAAGAATGGCACCTTTATTTTAAATTAGTAAATTAGTTTATTTTTATTAATTAAAAAACTGAAGATGTTCTAGCAGAAACCACCTTTTATTTTAATGGACCCCCAAAAATCATACAATATCAGGTTTCCCTTTATGTGCTACTTTTAAATTCAGAACAAAATACAGAAATTAATGTTAATTGTTGAGTGCCTGTACTGAAGTAAATTGGTAATAAAATATTTGTAGAATATGATGGAAAACAGAAGGTGCCATGCTTGAAGCTAAAACTTATCCTTGTCTTTTAAATGAAAAGGCATTAAGTATTCTGTAAGCACTTCATATCTCTGCTCCTTTAGAATAGAAAGCTCAAAGTAATTATAAATCAATGTGTATGTATATACACAATCAACTTAATTCCTTAAACTATTTACAGTGCTGGCCCCCTTATCCCATCCATTGAAATAATACTGAATGGAGCATAAAAGAACAAGTCTTTCATAGATTCATAGATTTTTAGGGGCTGGAAAGGACCTTGAAGATCATCAGGTCCAGCCTCCCTGCCCCGCTCTAGGCAGGCAGACAACGGTCCAGTCTCCTCTTGAAAAACTCCAGGGTAGGTGATTGCAGGGGTTTAGGTTGTAGCCGTGTTGGTCTAAGGATATAGGCAGACAAGGTTCCTTGGGTGAATTTGATATCTTTTATTAGACCAACCCAAATGGTTGGAGAATAGTTATTAAGCAAGCTTTCGGGTTCAAAAACCCTTCGACAGGCTCAGGAAGATGCAGCAGTTGGTGTGTGCTCTTCATGGATGGAATGAAAAGTAAAGAAGCCGGGGGCTGGGCCGGGCTGGGCAGTGAGTTGCCAGGCAGATTGTAATGTATCAAAAATCCAAGGTCTATGTTTAGTCTCTGATCTCTAGTATCCAGGAGGCTGATGAAATGGAGCTCATAGGCTCGTCTCTGGGAAGTGTTGTGTAAGTTTCCCTTGAGGATCAGGACTGAGAGATTGGAGAGAGAGTGACCCTCCTGTGAGAAATGTGCCCCCACCGGTAATTGAGTGTTTCTGTCTTTGATGGATTTCCGGTGTGCGTTCATTCTGGTGCGCAGTTGTTGTCTGGTCTCTCCTACACATCTTCCATCAGGGCATTTGGTGCATTGGATGAGGTATACTACATTCCTGGAGGTGCAGCTGTAAGATCCTGGGATGCTGATGGCTCTGTTGTGGGGTGTAGTAATAGTGGGGGTGGTGGAGATGTGGGGGCAGGTTTTGCATGAGCAACAGCTTCAGCTTTGTCAATGCTATAACCGTAAAATGTGCCTTTTGAAGGTTCTTAAATTGTTTTTTTCTCCCATTATCAGTTTTATTATCCAAGTAGCACTGGGAATGTATGTAACATGTGGGTTGTGGAACACTACATGCACCCTTTCAGGACTACAAAGAATGCACATACAGTAGTTCAAGTGGCTTGAAGTACAAAAAAACAGGGTTTAATTGACATAAAATATTACTTATTTCCAACAAGAGCTTCTTAGCAGTATGACAATTTCTTGTGCTGTATGTGATACCTGTACAATTATATGGGGAACTTCAGGTCATGGCTTTGTCCTCCAGGAGCCTGTCTGTGACTAATACAACACCCCACTATCCCAGGAAGGTGGAGCTGAGCACATCACCATGTTGGTATACAGGATAGGATGTTCCCCAATCTGCAAATAAGTGTATTTCAAGCTGTTTCCAGGGTACTGACCAATTTGCATTGGCTCTAGTGATCCTTTTGTTGATTCTCTAAGTGAATCATAATGGCAGCTTCCCTTAAATCCAGTCCTGTGCCATCCTTTAGAAAGCACAGCATGAATCCACATTACAAAACCTCTCATTGTGAAGTATAAATATCTAATTGTTTCCCATCAGGATTTCCAGCCTTATCTGCAAGCTCAGCAAGGGTACCAAGCAAGAATTCATGAGTGGTTGAGCTCATGCATGAGTACTTGAATGTTGGCTGAGTGCAGTGCATGGCTTCTGTAATTGGAAAAGGTCAGTCTTCCAAAATAAAATACAGTGTTTAAGCAACAAACAAGCAAATTAGTAAACCAAACCCTTCTGCCCTGTCTTGGACACTAGAAGGGAAGCCCTTTGGTTCCAGCCCCAACACAGCAGCCTGCCCATCCTTGTAGCAAGCTGTTACTCACAGCTTATTTCCTCCTCCCCTCCTTACTCCTCTGAACTCTTTTAAAGATCTCTGCCTATTCAAAGCCCTGCAACAAGGCTGACTGTTCCTTCTTAAAGGAACAGATTGTCCTGTTTACAATATCCTTTTGCAACCAAAAGGAAGTGGGTTGTACTACTTTACATCCAAGGGAGAAGTCATCACAAACCTTGATAAATGAAAGGCTGTACCCAAAGAAAGCAGAGCCCTTGTTGTGTGGTGTTTTGTGTGCCTAGCAATGGAAAAATCTTTGTTGGTGTGACCAGGGAACTATACTGAATTAAACCAGTTCTAGACTATGCTAAATTGAAGCAGTTAATGAAGGCACAGTAAGAGGGAAGCTAAGGTAGCAGCTGCATCTAGTACTGGAGAAAGTAACCATTTTTGGGCTTTTTGGCATTGATCCTTTCCTGAATGTTGTCAGAGGATGAGTTGTTGTTGGGAGTGGGTTCAGTTTGGTCGTGGAAATATTCTTTGAGGCGCAGGCGTCAGAAGAATTCTTCTAGTTCTCCACATTGAAGTATTTTATTAGGGTGTTTTTCTGGACAGAAATTTAGGCCTTTAGAAAGGACAGATTTTTCAGTTTTGGTAAGCGTGTGTGTGGAGAGATTGATAATATTTGTGGGTTTGTTGCTGCTTGCAGTTTCATCAAGTCTGAGGTTGGAAGGTCGTAAGGTGTTGGTGTTGTTCCTCTGATGGTTGTTTTGTGACTGGGGAGCTTGTTCTTGGAGTAATTTGTTCCATTTCTTCTTTTTATGTAGGATGAATGCTGTAGAAAGTTTTTCGTAGTCTCTTTGTATCCGCTGTATATTGTCAGGGAACATGCATGGATTTCTATCTTTTAAGTTGTTGTAGTGTATGACGATTTCCTTCCTGAGTTGGTCTCTTTTGGAGTAGAGTAGGTGAAGTAGATGATTTCTAATTTTCTCTGAAGTTCTTCTGCATAGCTGTGCAGCATATTTGGAGTTGTGTGTAGTAGTCAGGGGACTGTAGATGTTTAGTCCTCGGGGAATGAAGTTGTGTTTCTTGCAAAGGCTTAGAAAATATATGTCGCTGTTGAGTCTGGCTTCTTTCTTTTTCATGTTGTACAGTTTCCATTTCAGACGGCTGAATTCGATATCTTCCATGTCGCAGAGTAGGTGATTAGCTTTCCAAGACCATTGGCCACTGTACACGCCACAAAATTGGCATTCAAAGCACCTTAAATGCCTTTTTGCGGAAGGTAAACAGCATTAATGGCATTTAACAGTGTTGCTGCTTGCACATTCGGCAGCGTATTCTGCTTTAATGGCTGCTTTAATGGCACTCTCGGCGGCATATTATGCTTTAAATTACTTTGGTACGTAGCAAGATAAAACACCTCTGAGGTGTTTTAGTTTGCTACCTAACAAAGTGCAATAGTGCATGGGGTGCTGGAAGCCGATGTGCTCTGGGCTTGGTGGGCACCAAGCAGCTCAGGGGCTGTGGGACCTGGCAGCAGCCCATGCAGGCAGGCTCCACTGAAGAAGAAAAAACCAAACAAATGGCGAAACAGCGAGCCTGATCCTCATTTTTTTCTCCCTGGAGCCTGCCTTCCTGCCTGAGCTGTGCAGGGGCCCAGTGCTTCCCTCCGTGGCTGTGGGGGGTGGGGGTGTGCTTCCCTCCACACCTGCAGTGCCCCTAGGGACTGCCTGGGCCAGGTGCCAGTGGGTGGGTGCCAGCTGGGGGGGGGCCCCCGCACAGCTCAGGGACCGCTCGGCACACCGGCAGCTTGCTCCCCTTCCTTTCCCCCGCTGTCAAAGAGGCAGATAAGAATCAGGCCCTCACTTTTGTGTACACACCACGGGGGTTTAGTTCGGTTTAGTTCTCCCTACGTTGAAGAAGTATTTTTAAAAACCCACTGTTTCAATTTAGGGTGAACTAAACCAAATTAAATCACTGTGGTATGTACAAGCAACCCATTATCTTATTTCTGCTGGCTTTCATGTGCCCATGAAAGAGTATTCATAGTTCCTTGCCATCCTGCCAAAGATTGGAGATAAACCCATAAAAATCCTTTGGAATACCAATTAGCCAGGAGCTGTTGGCAAATTCTGGTTAAGGGAATGGTTAAGGGACCATTCAAACTTCCTGGAAGGTTTAGAGGAAATGTCTGTTTGCTGGTCCCTGTTCAGTTAATAATTCTGTTCTGTGCCAAACACTGACATCTGGTTAATGCTGGACTTGAATTTAAATATATGGTTTTCAAAAGTCCTTCCAGCTAGGCTACTTAGGTTTTAACAATATTGGTGGCACAGACAGGCATCTTTGGACACGGACAAACTTTAAACAACTTTAAAAGCCTTAAACAACTTTAAAACACTATAAATAAGAGGCCAAATGGTACACAGAACTATAGCACTACAAATTGGCCCAAACCAAATAAAAAATAACTATGGATGAAACAGAGATACCTCTGAAATGTTTTATAAGGAAAATTTAGCTGCAATGCATTTGTAGGTCTGTATGCTACTGAAGCATCTTTGAAAAAAGATGGAAGTTGAAGTGTTTTGTATATATGTCTACCCTTACCCTTATGGGTGCCTATACACGTGCAGTGAGGTTGCTCTGATGCACTGTAATTG